AAAAAAAAAAAAAAAAAAAAAACATTACAAATTTCATCCCAAAAAGTCTGATATCTTATATGTATTTTCATGCTCGCCTCACATCCAAGATAATTTTGAAAAGCCCATTACTATACATGACAGATTGGATGAGCAATCAATTGCTTAATTAAGTAATTAAGCAATTAAGCACCGTCGACTGTTCGCACCAGAGCTGACCTGTTACTTATTATTGCTTATATTTAACTTAACCGATGGTAACAAATTAAATCTGGCAGTAAGCACGAAAACATTTCTCTACAAACGAAGTTATACTATCCATGCATCATTTCAATATGGAAAATTGCTATACGTTTTTTTAAACGGCTTCAATTCTGCATTTATCTAAGCCCGACTTAGCAATTTACCCCTTTTTTATTGTTTTTATATGTATATATATTTTTAACTTTACATTTTTACACCCGTATTTTAATTCATTCACACAAAGTATGTAAATGCTTCGGAGAAGACTTGTTCCATAAAAGTCACTTGCTAGGATTTCACAATCCATGGTTCATATTGGTTTGATGAGCTTTGTCATTCAATATTTCGATAAAGAAGTCTCTTTACATGGCTAGGATTGACACCATGTTCTTATTGTCTAACCCAATTATGGACTTCATTCAACATAAGGTCAAACATCAATAGACCAGTTATCTGTTGTGGGTTCAATCTCGATTCATCAACACCCAGGGCTTGTAAAGTAATACTGAATCTATCAATCAGCACCCAGGGCTTGCAAAGTAACAGGGAAGAAAGTGTCGGTCCTCTTTACAATGAATTTAATCTACGAGTGGTTGGAAATTCCACATGCTAGACTAAAGATTGGACGCATGCCCACGCTAATAGTGCTTCTGTTTCTTCCGACCTTGGGGATGAGCGCCACAAGCGTTTTATCAATGCGTTCTCCTTGCTATCACGAATTGCTGTTATTACAGTTGGGCCCGCAATGAGATATTCTTTTTGTTTAAGTATCATACAAGTGGGGCTATCGGGTCCATACAATATGCTTGTTGTCTCATTTGCATCTCATTTGCATGCATCCACATTATCTGCTATTGCTGGTTTGGTCTGTTGTTTGTTTTACCATTATTTCCAATATTAACACGGGTCTTCAGTTATCTTTGCATTCCCATTTTTTAGCATAAACGAAAGCTTGCGGATCGAATCTTTCTTTTCTGGGAAATGAATCGATACGTCCTCGATTGTTCGGAGAACCTCGTCATTTGTGAAGCACTTCTCGTGGCCGGTCGGAAACACACTTCGGTCATTCCGAGAGCACCTGGATCCAGATTGGCGTCTCTTATAATTCTTATAACACGGGCATAACCAAGCAACCCATTTAGAAATCAGCTCTCTATACTCCTTGGTGCGTGCGCTATAAACATATGGATCCAAACTGCTGTTGATGGTCCCAAAGACATCACCATAGTCCCACAAAAGGGATACCCAGGGTTCCCTAACACCAAACCCCATGCCTGTCAGCATGGCTATCTGTAGCGGTAACATCAGGATGGCAAAGAGAAGAACAATAACTCCAACTGTCTTGGTGATTTGTATGCTCTCCTTACGTGTTTCATCAGATGGACTGCGGAGAGTGTTCCCCCTAGCAATGACACTAAGCCTAGGAACTCTTGGTTTTCTCATGTAGACACCAATCCTTACGTACGCAAAAGTGATGATTAACAAAGGAATTGGATACTGAATTACAGTAACCAGTACAAAGTAAATATAATCAGCGTGTTTAGACCAGCCATCTCCAATCATTGGACAAAACACACCTTTGTTCTGTGCAAAGATTGTCACAGGAAGAACAACAAGAAGTGAGAGAAACCAAGCGATAGCAATGCTTAAATGTGCGCACCAGATTCCTTCTTTGGGCCTCCACGGGTTGAGTATAACACGACAACGCTGAATGGCCATGATGGTGATTATGAATATACCAGCACTGTAGGGAACGCTGAGAATGGGAAAAACAACTTTGCAGTAGAATAATGATCTTGGAGTATAGTCCAAATAATTGTAAAGGTACCGGGCATTTGCAAAGCAGATATAAAGCAAATCTGCACAGGCAAGGCTAAGTAAGTAAACGTCGTTGTTAGTTTTACGCATTTTCTTGCTTGATATGATAAAGAGCACGAGTCCATTACCAAAGACACCAATCAGAGTGAATATGGCACGAATTGTGACATTAGCCACAAAATGGTCTTCCTTTCCGGTCTGAAGGTTAAATGCTGGCGTGGTCGGGGTGAAGTTAGTCATATTTTGTGGTTTTCTGTCAAGGAACTTCGATTCAAGTGGTTTATTCCGTCCAAGGTTTCCTTATTAAATGGGCAATATTACGCCACCAGTGATTTCTTGTACTTCTGGGGGGCAAACACAAACGAAATGAGTGAAAAATATTGAAATATACACACTTGCAGGCCAGGGCCCGGTTGTACAAAGCTTGGACAGCGCTATCCGGCGGATAAACCCTTATCCAGTGGACAAGTCGATGCAATTATCCAATAAATTTATCAAATT